CCTTTTTTTTTTTTTTTTTTTTTTTTTTTTGAGACGGGGTTTCGCTCTTGTTACCCGGGCTGGAGTGCAATGGCGCGATCTCAGCTCACCGCAACCTCCGCCTCCTGGGTTCAGGCAATTCTCCTGCCTCAGCCTCCTGAGTAGCTGGGATTACAGGCACGCACCACCATGTCCAGCTGAATTTTTGTATTTTTAGTAGAGATGGGGTTTCACCATGTTGACCAGGATGGTCTCGATCTCTTGACCTCGTGATCCACCCGCCTCGGCCTCCCAAAGTGCTGGGATTACAGGCGTGAGCCACCGCGCCCGGCCAACCTTTTCTAAATACACTAGGCAAATTTGTGGCTTCAGGGTTCTGCTCAAGCTCTTTATCTACCACTCCATGCGCTTAGAAAAGCCTGTTTTTCATTCAAGAAGACAACAATGAAGGGACTATGCAGCTTTTCCCAAGCTCCTTTTTTTTCCTCTGTGTTCTAACAGCACTTTAGGGGTTTGAGGGAAATTGGCCAAAGAGAGTCACATTTTTTTAGACAAAGCAAGCAGAACTTCTTAGTGAAGTGAAAAAGAGAAACAAGGAATAAAATAGAAGAAAAGATGATTTCTAAGCTTATACCTGGGACAGCTGAGAATGTAGTTTTGCCATTTAATAATCTAGGAAACCCTGGGGAGAGTAAGGTTTGGGGGGACTCGTGTAATAAAGACATCTGTATGAGTTATGCTAGGTTTGAGGTGCCAATCCGATATTCAAGTGGATTTGATAAATAAAGTGTTTACGTATATATAAGCCTGGTGTTTGAATAATGGTTGGGGCTATGGATATAGAACTGTGGGTCATAACTATACAGGAGACCAGTGGAGGTCAGCTGGAAAAGCCCAGAACAACAACAACATTTAGGAAGCAAACAGAGAGAAACCCGTTAGATACACATATGTGAATTTACTCACTCAGTCCTACTTGAGCTTAAGAACTATCTTGTTTGTCCATATGCCTAGTGATGCTTGTCACACAAATGTTCAATATACGCTTGCTGAATTCATCCCAAGACTAAAAGCAAAGAAAGGTGCCCTGTCAGAGGTCTCACAGCCCTGCACTTTAATAATTTGGCCAGATTTGCAAAGGAAGCATGAAGAACAACTCTAGCATGTGGCACAGGATGGATGTGGTGGACAGTTCCACAACTGCTGCAGACATCATTCCTACCTCCTAATCTCTCCCTGTCCCCTTCCCCGAGGGACACACTCCAGAGAGCATAACTTCAGTGCTCATGAGCAGATGGCACAAAGCCCAGGATCCCAGCAAGGCTGTCAATGCTAGATCCAATGGTCTTAAGAGAGCAGCAGCTGCTGGAACATATGGGTGGTCAGCAGGAGTTCTCCCTAGCTCTGGACAGAAAATCCTCAATATACACAATGCCCAATTTTCCAAAAGTTTGCATGGGAAACTTTCTCAATTATCTTGCCATGTTTTCCCCATTGACTTTAATTATTTAGTATCCTTTTTTTCTGGGCTCCTTGTTCCTATGAAGTATTCAAGAATTTGTAAATCAAGACACATCTGCCTCCCGCGACTCCTTTTCTCTCCTCTTGCCAACATTCTGATTAGGCTTTCGTCCTTTACCTGGACAAATTCAGTTGCCTCCTATCTGGTCTCCCTGCATCCATTCACTTTCCATTCTGCCACCAGAATAACCACACCAAAGTACCGCTCTGTTAGCGCACACACCTGCCAAGAACTTCAACAGCTTCCCTACTGCTTACTTAAATAGGATTCGAACATTCTAAGCCTGGAATTCTAGGCCTCCCTGCCATCTATCCTTTCCAGGAAAGCTTTCCAGCATTAGTGCCCACCAACCACATTTTGGGGTATAATTAATCAGGCCCTATTTTTTCCCACAAAATAGTCACTGCGATTTCTCTCTGTTGTGTCTCAGCACCTGCCATTTTCCTTGCCCATGATGCTTCATCTGTTTCTCCATCTGTTATCATCTCACCCACTCCTCAAGTTCCAAGCCAATGGTGCCTTCTTCAGGAAGCCTTTCCTATTCACCCCAGGTGGAAAGAGAGGTCACTGATTATACTTCTGAAACAATTCATGCATATATTTTTAAAAAACACTTATCAGATTATTAATGGTGATGTAGATGGAGAGAGAGAGAGAGAAATGACAGATATTTTTTCCCCATTGGAACTCTGACTTATTTTTCTGTTTCAGCATTCTGTACCTAGCACAGCATATGGAAGGAGCTCTAACAATATTGACTGAATGAATGAATATATGAGTGACTCAATCCAGTCACTCAAACAATTCATTTATAGTTATTCCCCACTTCTCACAATTTAGCCATTCCATGTAATCCTGTCTTTATATATTGGGTTTTCTTAAAGTTGGGTCTTTCTGCCTTATGAGGTCATCACATAGTGACTTCCTTTAACAACCATGTTTCTTCTGTTTGGAGTATCTGTGAGTGACATAAAGGAGATAAGGATAGAAAAGCGGGCAGTTTCAGGTAAAAAGAACACTTGAAGACATCAAAGAGATATGCTTATAGGTGAAGGATTTTAAGCAGGATATTGACATAATTAGATAAGCTTTTTGAAAAAACAATCACTCTAAATTTAGGTACAAAGTGGACAGGAGATACTGAAGACAGAAGAGAGAAGAGCCTCAGGAGGAGGTTCTTACAGGCAACTCAGGCTAAGAATAGACTGACTGGCGCTTAGACCAGGTCTTTGCCAAAACAATAACTACTATCTCTGCCTCTTCTCAGGGCTTCCAGGGCAGCGGTTGAGGAAACCTTACCAAGGAGCACCACACAGTAGATGCTGAGACATCGCACTCCAGGATAAGAAACAGTAACATGGCAGCACCTGCCTGAAAGAAATTAAAAACCAACAGACTCCATTTAGAAAGGAACAATGTCCAAGAAAGGGCGAAATAAGGGCGAGAAGCCCGAGGCACTCATTGTTGCCCTCCAAGCTGCCAATGAAGACCTCAGGACCAAGCTCACAGACATTCAGATAGAGCTGCATCAAGAGAAGTCCAAGGTGAGCGAGGGCTACCTGAGGCCATGGCTTTGAGAGCAGCTCTGGCTATGTCCACACGCATCGAGCACAGCTCTGCCTGCTGGCCCACCCCAATGGACTCCTGCCCTTTGCCAGAGAAGGCAACATCCCCTGTATACATGGAGAGCTTATTGCATGTGCCAGGAGGGAACTAAGCACAGGATACACAGAAAGTGAGAATAGCACGCTCACTAGACATATCTCAGCCTCCTCTGGAAGCCTGGTTCAGGAAGTCAGGTATGAAAATTCAGACAGTGTCTCCCTATCACCACCAAACACTTAATAGTTGCATGGCCTTGGGCAAATTCCACTCTTGCCCTCTGTAAGTTCTACCCCCCAGAGCATTCAGAGCAGTCCTTCTGAAATGTACCACATCATGTTACTCTACTGTTCAATACCTTCCAATGGCTTCCTATCTCTCTTAGAGTAAAAGGACTTTCCCCACCACTACGGGACATTAGCTCCAGCCCCCTCTTTGACTCATCTCTCACTTCTCTCTCTCTCTCCTGATCGCTCTGCTCCCCATTTTTTCTGGATCAAGAGAGAGACCCTGATCGCATTTAAGGCCTTTGCACTTGTTCTTTCTGGTCAGCTCCATGCTCCTTCACTTACCTCCTTCAGATGTCTGCTCAACCATCAAGCATCTGACCAGTCTCTAAAACAGAACACTTCCCCATGTCCAGGTACTCCCCATAGCCTATTCTTGACTTATTTCATAGCAATTTATATATTTGCTTTTTACCTGTTTAGTGTTGTCACTCCTCAATCTCTATGAAAGCAGGAATTCAGTTTACTTAGTGTCCCTGGAGCCTAAATAATGTCCAGAAGTTAAAAATCTCAATATGTATTTGTTGAATGAATAGAGGAATAATTTAAAGATGATTCATTCTTTTTACCTCAGTTTCTTTATCACATCACTGCTGTGAGGCGGTATGAATTAGATAAGTATATAATGTGCTTATGAGGATTGAATGAGAAAATTTATGTCAAGTGCTCAGGGAGCTGCCTGGCATATAATACACTCACAAAAAATTATTAATATTCTTTTTAATAGTCTCTGGATTTAAGTCAGTTGTTAACTAGACTTAGAAGTCTCTACTTCTTTCAGTCCCATCACCTAAATGGATATGCAAACACACATCTCACCAGGGTGAGGTGAATATCAAATGAGGTCGTGGCTAGGAGAGCATTTTGAAATCTGTAGCATTCATAAGATGTTTTTGCTCCCTGCAAACTAGAGACTACCATGACAGCATAAAGTTGCCTTATTTTGATAACTATACAGTAAGAAAACGTTCTTGATCAACAAGCAGTAGTCGCAAGCCAACAAATATCTTTATGCCATTTTTGTCTAACTCTTCTTCCTAGACATCACTATTAAATTTTAATTTGTGATTTCTCCCAAAATCTATTATTCCTCATTTTAACAATAATAAGTGGACTTTGGATCTGCCAAAGTCTGTTGCCCCCTGCTTGAGCTAAGCCTTGACCTTAGGTAAAGAGACGGTAATGTAAAGTTTGTGAAGGAAACCTTTTAGTGTCCTTGAAGCCAAAGGGAACATGATGTCATTTTAGAACAGCATTTGTTTGAGAGTCAGAAGACATGGGCATTATTTGTCTTTCTCCCTCCTTGGAGATGAATTTAAATGTCTCAGTGTCTCTATCTGTAATTCAGATGACTGAATCTGCTTCTCCATATCTGTGCTTGTAAAGCATCACTGTGCAATGGTATAACCTGGGGAACCTGATTAAATGCTGAGATTCCTGAACCCACAATTCAAGAATTCTGATAAAGTAGTCAGGTGAGAACCAGGACTTGTAATTCAGTAAAGCAGCCCAGGCAATTCTGATGCACTGCAGATGCAGATGACTTTTAGCCTTTGTGTTGACAAACACTCCACTATAAGATTCCATCCAGGTCTGACAATCTATGAACATTTCATTGGCCTTAACTCTCCCTACAGCAACGTCACACTTCAAGGGAGGCAGACTCCTCTAGTTGTAGCTATGGCAGGATGACAATCTAAATTCCTAGGAAAAAGCTTGTCGATCTCGAGACTAGGAACCCTAAACTGCTGCTGCTTTCCAGAGAACAAACTGATGAGATTCCCAGAAACAGAGGCACTGAGGACTCCACCACTGCCAATAATCTACATACTCACGCCTTTTAAAATGGGGAACTCTCAAGTTTGAACCAGGCTGCCTGTTTATCTTGGGCCTGGCACCGTTGTCTAAGCCCGCAGGCCAAGCATAATCTCCCCTTCCTCTGACGATTGACTGGCAGCCAGCCTCTTAAATGAGCGTACACAGCCTCTGCTGGCTGCCCCTGCCTGGCTCCCTCTCCTTGGCAGTTAATTACGGTCCCAGCCCAGGAGCTAAAGCAAAGTCTCACCGCCTGTCAGCAGTCTTCCCCAAAGAGCAAAGGAAATTTAGAGGGCAAGCAAGTCATAAAGCACTTCTATTATAAATAAATATTATCGTGTTTTCAAAGGGCCAGGCTTCAAGAGAGAATATGAACAATGCCAAGATGTAAATTTATACTCTCGGGTTGACTCTGAGGCTCTGATGACAAAATGACAGTTCAGCTACTGGGGAATGGACAAGTTAAAACTGGAAACCTTTGGGGCAATGGGGCAGTACTCATTATCCAGCAAGACAAATAATTCCGCTGATATTTACAGAACAGCCATTGTGCATAGAGCTGAGTCTTAAGAACTTTGGGCTGATGATATAAATAGCTACAACTTATCGACTGTTCACTCTCTGTCATGGGCTGATAAGTGCATTCCATCCTGCCAGGGTCCCAGCTGTTTCACTAGCACCTGGCTGACCCGGAGAAGGTCATAAAACCCCTCTGTGTTTTTCCTTCTTCGTCTGTCAAATGGGACAGTAGTAGTTTCTGCCTCACAAGGGTGTATGTGTATGTGTTAAGCTTTGAGCAATTAGTTTGTGTCAAGCATGTTAAGTGCTTTCATGACATTATCTCATTTTATCCTCGTTTCTACCTGCTGAGGTGGGCATTGTTATCCTTACTTTACAGATGAGGAAGCTTCCTGGCCTGTAGGAGGTGCTCAACTGCTTGTGGAGTGAATTTACATGATTCTTTTTAACAGCTTTCCCCCAAACCCTGTGGCAGTACTCACTTAGGTGAGAACTCCGGGCTTGGGTAGAAAAAGGATTTCCACCCACCTAACCCTAACCCTAACCCTAACCCTAACCCTAACCCTAACTATCTGCTTCTTGGAGCAGCACCCTGAGACACTAAGTTGCGATAATTGCCCTGTTTGTCTCTTTTATGGAGACCATGAGTACATGATCCATGAATGCATGATCCAATGGTTAGTGTGTATGAACATGCCAGGGACTGTCCCAGGGCTTTTTACTCTCCCTCAGAGATAAACTGTTTGCATGAACAACATGGGTACAGTGACAGAGGGAATGAATGGGCAGGAGCAGGGATCAGGGTTCTCAGGGCAGAGGCAGCAGGGCCACAGGCCTGGGTTGCAAGGTTGAGAAGAATCAGCCCCAGACAGGAGCTGCCCCACTGGCACAGCCCTTCAGACTGCAAAGCATTTTCACACCGAGCCTCACAACCATCAAAGCAAGCCCGAGGCAAAGACAGGGTGCAATTACTATTCTGCTTTCACTGAGGAAGAAAATGAGATTCAAACTGCTTAACTCATTTGCTCCCAGAGACACAGCTAGTTGAGGAGCCACAATGGGAATTCCTGTCTTCTATAAGATGCTGGTGATCAAGGTAATGCTCACTGTCTGATTCCACTGCCCTCTATTGCCTCCAGGGCATTCTCAGAAGATCAGCCAACATTCTCTATCCTCAAGTGATGGTCCCCACAGCCTCCAGGTTCAGGTACCAAATTTGGGACTGGGTATGTTTTCCTATCTACTCCTTTAGTTATGTTTTCAGGAAGCATAAGTGGCTGAAAAGAAGAAATTTTAAAAGTAGAATGCTTTGCACTGGATTGTGTAAGGTTGTATAAGACTTCCCTTGTAAGCAACCTTCTTAGAGCGACTCCTTTACATCTCCTCTCTGAGAGTCACTTTGTGCCCATGAAAATCCCTGCTGGTTCACTGTGAGTTTAGGCCTCCAGGAGCATCCAATGCAGCTAATCCAGGCTAAAATTTATGTTAGCTTAGCGTGCCTTGATAACCTCTCAACCTTTTCCTTACCTTTAACTGAGCTGTCCTAGATTTCTAAGATCACTTTTAAAGCTCAAATCATCACTATCTTTCTCTTGGCAGAATTTACACTGGCATTTTCCAAAGGCTAGACCAGAAGTAGGACAGAAAAGAAAAATACAGCATGAGGCCTGTGTAAGATAGTCATAAATTCTTTCTCCTCTGTCATAGCATAACCTTTCCTTGGTAGGATTAAACTTTCCTAGTTATCGTTTTTTCCATAGAACCTCTAGGGTAGAAGGGATTTGGGAGCCCATCATGCAAAGCCCTGCCGAGTGCTCTTCCCTTTACTCTGTCCCACCCTGCACCACTCCTTAGACCCACATGCACCCAAAGTGTCTTCCACATCATTAGATGCCACCAATGCCAGGGAACAGAATACATACTGAAGAAACTCAGCTTTGTATTCAAACGACTCTTTCTGCTGGAAAAACAGTTACCATCTTAATAATGTAATATAGTAATGTTAGTCATATCAAGATGATATAGGTACTTTTATATTTATGTTGTTGGTATGAATGTAACAGTCTCTAATATAATATTAATATACATACAATATTCATCAAAATGAATATGATAACATCCACCATGTATTAATGATTATGAATCTCTCATGTGTTCCAGCCTTTCCAAAGGGCTTTTGAGCCATTGCTTACGTCGATCATCACAGTAGCCATATGAGAATGATATTGACAACCCCAGTTTACAGATGAGAAAATTGAGGTGGACACAGGTGAAGCAAGGTTTCAGGTGCAAACACGAGGTGCCCAAAACTTCAAAGCAGA